ATATTTTTTTAGAGAATATTATTTTTTTTATTATTTTTTTATTTCGGTTTTTTTTTTTAAAATTTTTTTTTAAAATTATTATAATTATAATTATCAACAACTTTATTCTTTAATTATACTATCAATAAAAGAAAAGCAATCAATGAATTAAATCAAAATCCAGGAAAATTGTAACTGAAGAACTCTTTTTGGTTGATGGTAATACGTATGCAAGACTTGAAAATAAACATTATGGAATATCATTAGAAGAGGATATTAGTTTGTTTTTCAATAAAAAAAATTGTAAATAGCTTTTTTGGAGCTAACAAATCTCAAATTAGGTATAATCAACTCAGAAAAAAAAGACATTTATAAAAGAGAAATTGAAGGAGGTTCCAAAAAGTATAATTTTAAGCCTATTTCAAAGATTACCAAAGAAGAGCTTTTTGAATATTGGTCTATTACCTTAGTGTTAGATTTGGGAGTTTTTAAAACAATTATGGAAATTATAAATCATAGTAATACAAATATGAAAGACAGATTCTATTTGGCTCAATCAACACCCAAATTTACAGATGATCAAATTAAAAGAATTGCAGGTGAAATGAGTGATATTAGTTATGAATTGGTAGAAGGAATTAAAGTTTGCACCCTTGATGAAACAATATATAAATACTTCATAGATTCAGATTCAAAAGAGAAATATATTCAAGATAAAAATAAATCACCAATTATGTGTATACCTCATAAACCTCATTCAAATGGTCACTTAAGCTATAAAGAATTCAAATATCCATATTATAGAGTTTTTAACAAGTTAGATAATGAAATTAATCCCTCAAGTAGTGTTGATCCCGTATTAGGAACGTATAAAGATCTTAAATTTCATTTAGTTGGTGATAGTGCATTTTTTTCCAAAGATAATTTAAATCATATTGTAAATAAAGGTTGGTTGGCAACAATTTCAGATTCCTCAAGTAGAAACATTAACACATTGCTCAAAGATACATTAAAAGATGATAAAAGTTGGATTGCAATTGAACTTGATGGTTATTATAAAGTCTGTAAAATTGATGAAAGAGACGAAAAAGTTCCTACATTTAAATCAATAGCAACAACTGGTTTTAAAACTCAAAATCACGAAGTTAATCTAAGTAAAGGTTCTAATAATTGTTATGCAGTGGATCTTTATGAATTAAATAATTCAACTTTAAAGAAATTATGTTTAGGTTTAGGTGTTTCAAGATCAAGTAGTAATAGGAGAATGGTTATGTCAATTTGTGGTATAGATCCATTATCTCGTTCAACCAACCCCAATTCGTACTCATTATTATCAGAAGCAATTCAAAAAGATACTTTAAAATCATATCATTAGATAAACTCAAAAACTTGCATCAAGATTTTAATTTACCAGCTCCTGTTCAATTAACATGTGAAGGTTACATTTTAGCTCTACTTATCATATTCATAAATTTGATAAATATATTAAATAAAGATATTACAAACAAAACACAGTCTTTTCTTATTTTATTTTTTTTTTTTTTTTTTTTTTTTTTTTTAATTTATATTTCATGTTCATTTTTATATTACAAATAATTATAAATAAAATCATATATCTTAAGTGTAATAAAAATAATAAAAACCTTCATTTAAATTTTTTATTATATAATATAATAAAAAGTTGTAATATACTTAAATAGTTTTTTTTACTAATAAAGGAAAATCAGGAATTACATGATTATGAAAAAAAAATTAAACTTCAAATAATGAATTTAAAAAACAAAAAAAAAAGATTTGGGGGGGAAAAAAAAAAAAAGGATTGCCCCCAACCCCAAATATAAATGTTTAAACTCCTTTGGGTTTTTACCTTTTTTTTATAAAATATTTTTTTAAAACCTTATAGATTTTATTTTTAATTTGTCAAATGGGTTTTTTTTTTCCGGTAGTTTTTTTTCCCTGTTTTTTTTTTTTTTTTTTTTTTTTTTAATTTATAATATTTTTATTTTATAGATTTGTTGAAAAAGATATTTTTTATAAAATTTTAAAAATAATTATAAAAAAAAAAAAAAGAAAAAATTAAAAAAAAAATTCTAAATAATTAAATTTTTTATTTTTTTTTATTTTTGTTTATTATTTTTTTAAATAAAATAAAATAAATAAAACAATAATAATATAATAAATAATAAAAATATAATAATATTAAAAGATAAAAATATATTTTATGATAAAACATTTTTATTATTAAAAACACACACATCAAAGAAAATATAAAAAAAATCATTACCCACACAACAGATTTAATTAATTTTTACAATCAATAATTTTTTTTTTTCTTTTAAAATTTTTTTTTATTTTTTTTTTAATTCTAAAAAATATTTATTTTATATCACACAGATAATAACACTTAGTTTTGTATTAGTATGGATAAAAATAAAATTTCACAAAGTAACAGTAAAACTAATATATCATATGTAAATAAAAAAAATACAATCAATAATAAAAATTACATAAAGAATGACAATAGTAATCAAGATTACTCTAAATGTCAAGGAGATCAAAAAATTATTAACAACATGGATATAAATAATAATAATAATAATAATAATAATAATAATAATAATAATAATAATAATAATAATAATAATAATAATACCACTACAAACAGCAATAGTCATAACCATATAAATACAACAAGTCCTACTTTGGGAAGCGGTAAAAAATTAGTTAGATTAAATATTCCCCCACCACCTTTACCGCCAAAATCCATTTCCTCACCACCCAAAGCAATAAACAACAGTGATATTTATAATCTAATAAGTGCAAATCAAAATCAAAATCAAAATAACAATAATAGTAGCAATAGCAATAAAAAAGAAGAATCTATACAGTTAAAAACCTATGAATCATTAATTAAACCAATCAATGTAATTAAGAACAATGTTATTACATCCAATACTCCCAATAATGGTGATGGTGGTCAAGATACAATAGAGTTGGTAAATAGAGTGTATAATAGCCAGGATATGATAGCCAATCATTCTTTAGCAAATTTAAATATATTTTCAGCAAACCCAAATGACGAATATAAAATTCTATCTCAAGGAATTTTGAGGATACCGGTTTATTTTAAATTCAAACAAAAGAACAATAAATATAAATCATTTATACTACAATTCGACTTTAATTTTAGAATGTTAAAAATCATCAGAAAGGGAAAAAGTATCAAAACCATCCCATTCACCTCTTTTGACAAATCAATTCCAAGCCCATTCACCGATAATTTTCTCTCATTTAGAACCAAAGAATTTAAATCATACGACTTTTATTTCTCATCTAAAATCGAACGAAATGAAATGGATACATTAATCAACTATATCATAGCTGATCCTTTACATTACAAGTGTCCAGAGAACATAATTTTAATACACCAAGAGTATGTACATAAAAAGGGTAAAGTTAAGTGGTCTAAAAGGTGGTTAGAATTACACCACAACCAAATCCTATGTTTTAAAAAAAGAACTTCAGAATATCCTGTCAATGGTAAATATTAAATTTAATTACTTTTTTTTTAATGATAATCAAATTATTAACACACCCCTTTTTTCATTATTATAATGATTAAAATTTTTATAATTATTCAAAATACAGTAATACCTATATCTGAATTAAAAATTAAAATTTTTGATCAAAATGGATTAACTGTTAGAAATGATAATAGAACTTTTTATTTTAAAGCTGCAAATGAAAAACAAAGAGATGAAATTTATAACAAACTAACCTCATTAGGAATGTAAGTTTTTATATAGCTTCAACTTTTTTGTATTTTAACTAATATATTCAGGTTAAATAATTATTCAAAGAATCCTAAAATATTATAACTATATATAACTAATAATTATAATTATTATATTAATACTATTATTATAATAATTTAAATAATAATTTATAACTATACTCCATTCACTCTTACATGTTAAATAATACCAACATCAATTTACGTTTTTTAAATTAATATTTTGGGTTTGTTGATTTTGATTTTTTAACGTTTTGTGGGGGTGGGTTTGTGTGGTGATAACCAAATTCACATACAATAAAAATAATTCATTTTCCCACTCTTTTTTTTTTTTTTAATTGTTAACACACAACACACACGCCCATTAGCACATATAAAAATTATCAACACCACCTATTTCTACACACTCACTCAAAAATAAATGTATATATATAAAAATAAATATTAAATAATAACCCCAAAACTCATATTTCAACATTTTTTCTATCGCACCCAAATATCATAATACACAAATTCACACAATTGAAACACTCAAATTACACACATAAATTGCTTCATACTCTTTTAATTATAAAGAAACAACAACAACAACAACAAAATACCACTACTTTAACTATTGTTTTATTGTAATCTCATCTTAATTAATATGTATTGTTGTGTTATTGGATAGTGATGCAATTTATGATTACCCTTTTTGCCTTTTATTTGACACACTAACTTTCCAATATACATTATCTTCACCAACACATTAAAAGAAAAAAAGATTCAATAGCCCCATATTTTAAATTTTTTTATACTTTTTATTATTATTTTTATTATTTTTATTATTAAATTATTTATTTTCAAAAAGACTATTTAAATTGTGTCTATTTTTTTTTTTTTTCAATACTGTGTGTGTTTATATATTTATAAATACATTTATATTTTAGTAGTAATCCCTTTATTTATGATAGATTAAACTCATTACCAAATTAATCTTTATCTTTTTTTTCAATATAAAAAATATATATTTTTTATTTTTTTTATAATTTTATTTTTTTTAAAATTCTCTCATTTCTTTTTATAATAATAAAAATTTATTGAAAAAACCAATTTTTTTTTTTAAATTTATATTAAATTAAAAAACTCTCAATCATAATAATAATAATAATTTATGTTTTTATAAATATAATTATAATTACCTAAAGCAATAATAATAATATTGTGTCAATCAAATTATATATTTTATATATAAATTTTTTTTTTTTTTTTTTTTTTTGGAAAATTAAATTTTGTATTTTTTAGTCAATTTACTATTTTAAATCTATGTGTTGTGTATATAAATAAAAATATTTTTACCTTTTTTTTTTTTTTCATCTATACATAAATCTATTTAAATAATTTAAAGCATAATAAAGTATTAATCAAAAAAATCGATTATTTAACAATTTTAGAAATAAAAGAAGGAAATCATTATTTAACGAAAGAAAAAAATCACTACAATTAAATGTAAGTATTTACGACTTAATTTTACACATTTTTTAAACAATCATAAATTTTTTTACAAAACCACGCAAAGCTAGATACAGATATTATTTTAAAAATAATAATTTACAATACATTTCATAAAGAAATATAATCATCTTTAGTCTATTTAGTATGGATTGTTTTTAAATAATAATAATTATAATAATAACAATAATAACAATAATAACAATAATAACAATAATAATAATAATCATTTATTAGCATCATTTATCAAACATTCCTCGGTATCTTTTTAGCGAATATTTTTGTATTATAATATTGATGTATTTTTATTTTTAGGGACAATAAAATTTTAATCATATTTTTAATATTCCATTTTCCCCCATTTTATAATCAAATATTTTTTTTTTATTATTCATGTTTTTATTTTTTTTAATTTTTAAATCTATTTATTTATTTTTTTTCATTTATAAAAGAATAAAAATACTAATAAAACTCTTTTTTTTTTTCTTTTTATACATTAATATTTATTTAATAGATTATTCATAACCCAAATCAAAAATACTATCCATCTAAATTTAAAGATTTACATAAACTATTTCAGCAACCATCAATATCACTTAAAGATATTCATTTAAAAAACAGTGTAAATTTACAAGACTCCTCCATTGATACAAACTCAAGTGGTCACTATAGTCATAATTTCGGTTATAACCCAATCAATTCAAGTAATTTTTCAAATATTCCAGAGTCATCTGAAATTAGACCATTCAAAAGAAAAGAAAATAAAAAGAAAAGAATGATATCGAGACAATCAGTTCAAGATTTAATTAAAAGATTCAACTCTATCAACGAGGGTATGAATATGAACAATAACCCATACTATTTAAATAATAATGAACTCTATATGAAACTAATCCACAGAATAGATATTTTAAATGAAACATGTGATGAAATTATAGATTTTTTAAAGAAAAATAGAGATCAAATTTCGAAATCAGCCCTATATAATCTATTAACTATATTCCAAGACTCTCAATTCGAATCGAATCCATCCCCAACCATATGTATAGCAAGTACACCTCAAGCTAGCATTGGTAACAACAATAGTAAAAAGAATAGTAAAAGCAGTAGTGGTTGTTACTCCCCCGGATTTGGCAGTTTTAAACTAGATGGCAGTAACTTAAATGACTCTTCACCAATACTAAACTCCCAGTCTGCATCATCATCTACATCACAAAGAAATAAAGTCATCGAAAAGATTAAAGATTATGATTTAAGCGATGGAGATGATGAAGACGATGATGAAGAAGTCGATATAGAATCAATTAAAGAACTTGAACAACTATCCTCATCTGATGAAGAGGATGAAGAAATTGATTTCCAATTCAACGAAAACAAAAGATCCTTATCGTCCAGTGGCGAAGAAGACATTGGCTTTAAAGATAACAATGACTATTTTACAATTAGTGCATCTGTACCATACGAAACTGATTCCGTTACAGCATCAAGCTTAGAAAACCAAACATTTAAAAAAGAAATTAACAGTGGCTCAACAACACCAGAGCATCATCCTCATCACGAAGAAAACCCAATATCAGTAACCACCACAACTACAACAACCACAACAACCATAAAAAACAATGATGATGATGAAAAAAAAAAAAACTCCAAAAATATAACAAATGATGATAATAGTAATGTTTCCGATGATATAGCCGCCATTTCATTAGTGTCACCAAGAAGCTTTAATCTATCACCAAAGATAACCCCAACTTTAAATATATCCACCAATAACAACAGTAATAGTAGTAATAACTCTAACAATGATAACAAACAATGTAATCGAGATGTAAATATGCGTAGATATTCAAGAGATTTAATTCCTACTAAAATTATTTTTGCTGGCTCAAATGCTGGTGGTGTTTAATAAATTTAAATTTATGTATATAATATTTTAAACTAAAAAGAAAAAAAACTTTTCTTATTTTATAATTTATAATTTTTGTAATTTTTATTTTATTTTATTTTATTTTATTAATCTTTTAATTTGTATTATTATTATTTATTTAATCGAATAAACTACTTTTACCACGGTTTTTATTTTTTTGAATATAACTGCCTAAATCGAAATCTGAACTTAAATTATCTTTTGAATCTTTTGAACTGTCACCAAATAAATCGTCGTCCAAGTCAAAATTTGATTTTTTTGTGGCTGTAGTTTTTGATGGTTTATTATTTCCAAAAATATCATCCTCATTATCGTCATCAAATATCAATGTCTTTTGTGGCTTCTTTTCTACTTTTTTTTTTTCTAATGATGATAAACTAATTGACTCTCTACAATAAAATTAGAATATTAGTATAAAACAATAGATAATATTAAAGTTAATAATAATTACAATGAAATTTCCTCATCTTCTTCAAATACTAATTTTTTAGGACCTTTAGAACCAAAAAGAGAATCCTCATCTAATTTTTTAGATTGAGCTTTTTCTTCTTCATTATCTTCATCTCTTTGTTGTACTTGAGCTTCAGTTTTATTTACTGTACTTTGTTGACTATTTGCAGTGTTAACCTCATTGTCACTATCATCATCTTCTATTGAGTTTGTTTTTCTTGATAATGGATCTTTGGCTGATTCATCAAAATCTCTAGCTTGATTTCTTTCATTAACTGTAATTTCCCTGTAATAAAAAAATATTATTAATATAAATATTTTTTTAATTTAAAAATATCTACCACTACATACTTTCCATCCAAAACAAGTAAAGTTGGTAAATTTTTAATAACAGTAATTCTATAATTATTTTGTTTTGTAACTGGATTTGATGTTAAATTTAAATCTTCGATAACTGGTAAATCGAATAAACCTTTAATGTGACGAATTAATTGGAATCTATTACTTGATAAATCTAATTTTTTTAATGCTTTCAATCTTGAAAATGATGAAACTTCAGTAAAACCTAAACTATCCAATTCGATTTCTTCGATTGTATTAATATCAATCTTTCTACCAATTTTTGAGCTGATGGTTTCTGGTGTTAATTTCATTTTTAAAAATTATGAAAAAAAAAAAAAGTAAATAAATAAATAAATATATATAAATTAATGATTATTTATGTGGTGTGTTGAAATAAATTAATAGCAATAAAAAAAAAACAAAATAAGAAAGGTCATTTGCCTATTTTTTCAAAAAAAAAAAATTAAAAAAACAAAAAAAATAAAAAAATAAAAAAATAAAAAAAATAAAAAAAAATAAAATAATATATAATATATCATTATACTTTTGCCAAATTGGATCAGTTGAAACCTTTTTTTATTTTACATTCAAACTATTTTTTAGCCACACCCAAAATAAATTTTCTTTAAATCCAAAAATAATATTTACTATTAATGATTATAAAAACATATTTGATAAATATATATATAGAAATTGATTGATTATAATTAGAAAAAATAATAACAAATTAAAGAAATTAAAAAAATTTTATTTTATTTTTTTTAATTTTTTATTTATTTTTAAAATAATTTTTTTTTTTAAAATTTTTTTTTTTTTTTTTTTTTTTTTTTGAAAAACGAAACATTTCGTAAAATTTTTTTTTTTTTTTTTTTTTGGTTCAGATAATTGTATCTGTATATTGAGTTTATTTTACTCTCTTATTTTTTTTTTGTATATTCCGAAAGAATAAAAATATTTTTAGGGTTTTTACTAAAAAACTATATCATAACCTAAAATAATAATATACTTAATAATTAAATAAAATATACATATATAAATAATCACAAATATATATAAATAAAATGTCATTACAAAATAGCGCATTAATTAAAGAAGAGATCACTGGTGTATCTTTTCAATTTTATACATCAGATGACATTAGAAAACTCAGTGTTAAACAAATGGTCGAAGTTGAATCATTTGATATGTTAGGTGGCCCAATTCCGGGTGGTTTACATGATCCAGCATTAGGTCCAACTGGTCCATCAGAAAGGTAATTATCTAAATTTAATCAAAATAATAATAAAAAATTATAAAAAAAAAATTATAAATTAAAGGGGACGTTACTTACATAATTTATTTTAAAAATTATAGATGTAGCACATGTTCATTAGATTTTATAGAGTGTCCAGGTCATTTCGGACATATAGAATTAGCTATCCCATGTTATAATCCAGTTTGTTTCCAAACCATTTTTAAATTATTAAAGAACAAATGTTTCAATTGTCATCATTTTAAACATGGTTCAAAAGTTGTATGTATTGTTAATAAATATATTCATAAATTAAAAATAAAAATATATAATTCTAAATTATTAATTTTATTATATCTTATTAGATAAATCAATTTACTGAAGAGTTAAATTTATTATTAAGAGGAAATGTTGTTGCTGCCAAAAATTTAAGAGAGGCAAACGTTTTATTAAGAGGATATGATGAAAAGAAAGATAAAGATACAAAAAGAGAAAGCAAATTAAATGGAAAGAAAAATAAAGAAGAGGAAGAATCAGACGAAGAAGACGAACAAGATAAATTTAAAAATGGCGTATTTTCAGCAAGTGAAATTTCAGGCGATAAAGTTACACATTTTGAAGACATTAGAAGAGAAATTTTCAGAGAGTTTTTTGCTACTTTTTCTGGTTATGCCACTCCATGCAATAATTGTGGTACTTTTTCACCACGTTTACGTAATGGTGATGCATCAAAATCAAAATTATTTGTTATGCCACTCTATGAAAAATATAAGAAAAAGAATTCAGAAACATCAAAACCAACCAATTTCTCATCAGTTGAAAATCAGAGTGAACATGGTACCTGGTTTGCTCCATGGGAAGTTTTAGATCACCTCAAAAAACTCTTTAATGAAGAGAAAGAAATTTTAGATTTACTTTTAGGTCATTTGGTACCAGTTAGCGGTTCAAAAGGTCGTGAATTTACTAAAGTATCAAATGTAGACAGCTTATTTATGCGTGTTTTCCCAGTTACACCATCTCGTTATCGTCCACCAAACTTTGTAAATGGTCGTCGTTCAGAACATCCACAAAACTCTCATTATAAAGGTATGCTCAAAGCAAATAAAATGATCCGTAGCTCAATCGAACAAGGTGAAGGTAAAGCCAAATATTTAGTAAATTCAGTTTGTGATCTTCAAATGCACGTAAATAACATGTACGATAATTCAAAGAGTGCCTCAACCACCAATGATGTTGCCAATGGTATCAAACAAATTCTTGAAAAGAAAGAAGGTCTCTTTAGAAAACATATGATGGGTAAACGTGTTAATTATGCTGCACGTACTGTTATTTCACCAGATATCTCTTTAGAAACTAATGAAATGGGTGTTCCACAATATTTCGCTAAAACTTTAACTTTCCCACAACCAGTTACATCATTCAATTATAATCAATTAGCTCAAGCTGTTATAAATGGTCCAGATACTTATCCAGGTGCAAACTTTATTGAAGACGAAAATGGACATCTTATTAATCTTGCTAAAGAACCAATGGAAAAAAGAGTTGCCCTCTCTAAAACACTTTTAACTAACCACCCACATGCTCCACGTGGTGTAAATAAAAAAGTTTACCGTCATTTATTAAATGGTGATTATGTTTTAGCCAATCGTCAACCAACTCTTCACAAACCAGGTATTATGGGTCATAAAGTTAAAGTATTAGGTAAAAATGAAAAAACTCTTCGTATGCATTACTCCAATTGTTCAACCTATAATGCAGATTTTGATGGTGATGAAATGAATATTCATTTCCCACAATCATTATTAGCCTCAGCCGAAATTCGTGAAATTTGCGCAAATAACTATCAATATTTAGTCCCAAGAAATGGTGCACCATTAAGAGGTTTAATTCAAGATCACATTTTAACTGGTGTTCTTTTAACTAAACGTGATACTCTTTTCACTAAAGCCGATTTCCAATCAATTCTCTATGCTTGTCTTTGGAGTGTCAACACTAAACACCCAATTGTTACTCCACCACCATGTATCTTTAAACCTGTTCCATTATGGTCTGGTAAACAATTAATCAGTGCTGCCCTTACTCATTTAACTATTGGTAGAGTTCCATTAAATCTCGAAGCTCCATCAAAGATTCCAATTAAAATGTGGGGTACTCATGGTCCAGATGTTACAAGAGATAGTTTAGTTATTATTCGTCAAAATGAAATGGTTGCTGGTATTTTAGATAAAGGTCACTTTGGTGCTAGTAGTTATGGTTTGGTTCATACATGTTATGAACTTTATGACCCAGATGTTGCTGGTTCACTCTTAACAATTTTGGGTCGTATGTTCACAAGCTATCTTCAAACCCGTGGTTTTACTTGTGGTGTTGATGATTTATTAATGAAATCAAAGGAAGAACAATTCAGAGCTCTCAATCTTAAAATGGCTAATGATGAAGGTTATAATGTTGCCGCTAAATTCGGAAATGCTTCAGAATACAATGCTAAAGAATCACGTGAATTCTTTGGTAAAGCTCTTCAAAGCGAACGTGAAGTTGCTCGTCTCGATGGTATGCTCAAGAAAGCTTTAAATACTTATACATCTAAAATCATCGATACTTTAATTCCAGGTGGTCAACAAAAGCCTTTCCCAAAAAATAATTTCTCTTTGATGACTGTTTCTGGTGCCAAAGGTAGTGTTGTCAATTTCTCACAAGTTTCATGTCTTTTAGGTCAACAAGAACTCGAAGGTAAACGTGTACCACGTATGGTCAGTGGTAAAACATTACCATCATTCCAAGCTTATGATCCATCTGCTAGAGCTGGTGGTTTTGTTATGGATCGTTTCTTGACTGGTGTTCGTCCACAAGATTATTTCTTCCATTGTATGGCTGGTAGAGAAGGTTTAATCGATACTGCTGTTAAAACTTCACGTTCTGGTTATCTCCAACGTTGTTTAATTAAACATTTAGAAGGTCTCTCAATTCAATACGATAATACCGTAAGAGATTCCGATGGTTCAATTATTCAATTCAACTATGGTGAAGATTCATTAGAAATTGGTAAAACTCCATATCTCACTAAATTCCCAATTATCGCTGAAAATTATGATCTCTTCAAATCTCAATTCGATTTTGAAAAATTAATTGGTCAATTACAAAATGATGAAGTTTTCGATTACATTCGTCAAATGAAAGTCGATAATACAATGGATCCAGTTATGTCTAAATTTAACCCATCATCAGATTTGGGATGTGTTTCAGAATCATTCATGAATCAATTAAACAAATATATCGATACCAATCCACAAAAACTTATTAAAACAACTTCAAATCGTGATGGTAAAATCACAGAAAAAGATTTCCGTAATCTTATGTATCTTTATTATACTAGAAGTATGGTATCACCAGGTGAAAGCGTTGGTTTACTTTGTGCCCAATCTATTGGTGAACCATCAACTCAAATGACATTAAATACTTTCCATTTAGCTGGTAGAGGTGAAGCCAACGTAACTTTAGGTATCCCACGTCTTAGAGAAATTATTATGACTGCTTCAAGTAAACCATCCACTCCATTAATGGAGTTCCAAATTAACGATCCAACCAACAAAGCTGAAACAGAAAAAATGGCTAAATATTTAGAAATTTTAAAGATGTGCGATATTATAAAAGACATTACAGTAGAAGAATCATTCAAAGACACCAATAGAATTTATGAAATTGTTATCGAGTTTTTACCAACTCTCAAGAAAACTCTCGAGCTCCATAGAATTAAAAAGGAACAATTAACTGTATTATTCAAAGAATTTATTAAGAAGGTAAATGCCCAAGTTAGAAAAAATAATAAAATAAAGACACAAGATATTGGTCATGGTTCAAAGGTTAGAGGTAGTGATTTAGTAGAAGATGATTCAGATAAAATTGGTAAAGACGACGATGAAGGTAATAAAGATAGCAATAACGATGATAATAATGAAGATACCACTGTAGATAAAAAAGATAACAAAAAGAAGAAATCAAAAACCCCATCCATTGATGATGACAGTACCACAGCCAAGAAGAAATTAAAAAAGAGTCAAAGCTCCGTTTACGAAGAAGGTGAAGATGAAGCATCAGAAAAAGAATCTGAATCAGAAGATAGCGAATCAGAAGAATCATCAGAAAAATCAGATGTCGAATCAGAAGAAGAATCAACCAATAAAAACATTACCCCAGGTGAAGATTTTGATTACTCTGACAACTCACTTTCATTTACTGTTGGTGTTCCAAGTGACAGTAAAAAAGTTTTAATGTTAGGTATTGTCGAAACTGAAGCTATGAAGTTTGTTCTCAAATCATGTAAAGGTATTACTAGATGTTTTATCAATGAAAAACAAGTAGGTGGTAAAACTGAATACTCTATTCAATCAGAAGGTGTTAATCTTAATGAAATTTTCAATCTTAGAGACAAATTAAAGATTAATGAATTTTATACCAACGATATTTACTCAGTTCTTCATAAATATGGTGTTGAAGCTTGCCGTCAAGCCATTACCTCAGAAATTTCAAATGTTTTTGGTGCTTATGGTATCTCTGTAGATAAACGTCATCTCATTCTTTTAGGTGATTACATGACTTTTGAAGGTGGTTATCGTGCACTTAATCGTATTGGTATCGAAAATAATACCTCACCATTCCAAAAAATGTCATTCGAAACAACTTTTTCTTTCCTTTCCAAAGCTGCTCTTATGGGTGATTATGATGCTGTTAAATCTCCATCATCTCGTATTGTTTTAGGCCAACCTGTAAAAACTGGTACTGGTTCTTTCTCAATCATGGCTCCATTAAAATAAATAATTTAAAAAAAAAAAAATAAAAAACAAAAAATAAAATAATTTAATATAATTTAAATAACTGATGGACTATCCAATATTTTCTTTTTTATTATTTTTTTTTAATTTAATTCGAACACAATATAGCAAACTTAAAGGAATCTATTTAATTTTTTTTTTTTATATATTTTATTTTATTTATTTTGGATGATTATGTTTTAGACTCTTTTTAAAATTTTATTATATATAATTTTATATATTTTATTAAAAGGTGGAGGTAAATCCATTTATTGAAATCTTATGGTTAAAATGTTTTACCTGTTTCTAGTTGTTTCATTTACTTTTTTTTAAAAAATTATGTTCTTGGAGATAGGGACTACTAAATATTATTTATCCAAAAAGAGTGAATGTTCTACCTTAATGGCATGTTAAGAACGCTATTATAATTTAAAATTTTAATTGTTGCTATTTCTATTGTTGGTTTTCATTTACTTTATTGTTATGATTTAGATAGACTAAAAAAAGTATATTTAGTGCAATTTAATGATTATCAATATAGGATGATTTAAAGTGATGGTTATTATACATCAAATTTTTTATGAAATATACAATTTTATTTATTCAATAAAAATAAAAATAAAAATAAAAATTAAAATAAATAAAAATTAAATAATAAAAAAAAAAATAAAAAGAAATTCCTCAACATGACTTTATATTTATTTTATATAAACTTTATTTTTTTTTTTTTTTCATATTGACCACTAAAGATAAAATTTTTTTTGTTTAAATTAAACAGTTGGCATCATTATATTTATTTGAATAATTCAGATCGCAATGATGGTAAGTTTCTAGCTCAAAATATCACATTCATCTCAGTCTTTCAAATAATGAAAATAAAAATTAAATTAAAATAAAAAAAATTATAAAAAAAAAATAAAAAGAAATTCTCAACTCAATGACTTTAAAGTTATTTATTTATTTTAAATAAATAATCAAATAATATTTAATTTTTTTTTTTTAATCAAATTTTTTTCATAATTATAAATCATCATTTTTTTTTTTAATAATTCAGATTGCAATGGCTTCTAAAATTGGTAATTTTCATTTTTATTTAATTAAGAAAAATAAAAATTTATTAATTCATTTCCCAAACACATTAGTCACTTTTTATAATAATAATAAAAAAAAGTGTGTGGTGGGGTTATAATTTAATTTTTTTTAATTTTTTTTTAAATTTTTTTAATTAAATTACTATTTTATTTGGGTGATGTGTTTAAAAAATAAACGGATGATCACTACTTTAATGATAGCTACAGATTAAAAATTTAATAGAATGTACAAAAAAGGGAATACCGAGTTTGGATCTAATCTATTATGTTAACAAAAGGAAATTATTATTAAAATCAATTAAATTTTTTTTTTTGTTTCATTTTCTAAAAAAATTTTAAAACTCTATAAAAACTTTTTTCGAATTTATTTTTCATTAAATTCATTTTTTTATTGCTCCTTTCAGTGTTTTTTTAATCATTATATTATATTTTTTTTGTTAATTATATATAGATACTTTATATTTTATATTTTAATTTACCCTTTGGAAAAAGTAAATAAAAAAAAAATGGGTAATTTTATTTCAAAAAAGGTAATTATCTCTTATAAAACACACATTATAAACAAAATAAATACTAATTATAGTTTTATTTTTATATAGCATTGCATTTTTGAAAAAAAGGTTGAGGCTATGGAATCCAAAATTAGTAAAATGGAGACCGATATTAATAGCTCAAAGCTTTATCATTATAATAATATAATAAAATTATTTTTTATTTTTTTATTATTGAATTATATTTAGCAGCTTTTTTATACGAAAAGTTTGCTTCATCCGACACTTTGTCTGAAAAGGCAATGTGTTTTTTATATTCAATATTTGCTTCAATGATGTAAGTTTTTCATTTATATATATCTTAATTTTTATTTATTATAGATATTCAACATTTATATTTAAATTTTAGAATCTATTCATTCGCTAAATTTTACAGATTATTATTTGAAAGATTAATTAAAAATAATGAAATAAAATTATTAAAATTATATGATGGTCTTGATAAATTATTTGAAGCAAGGAAGCTTGAAACAGATTACGAAAAGACCAAAAAGCTTCTCGAGGACTATGAATTTTTTAAAAAAAGTAAGTATTAGATGGTATTCATTTAAATATTATATCTGTAGTAATGTAGTGTCTAACTATTTTTTTAGATTCCAATAACAGATACCAAGAAGAGTATCAACACCAACAACCACCACAACCATCGCAACCATCACAACCAAACCCAGGACAACAACCAAAACCAAAAACAAACCCAAACCCACAACCAAAACCAAACCCACCACCAAACCCACCCAACTCACCCAACCTACAACCAAAACCAAACCCAGAGCCAAAACAACAACCCAACCCACACAACCCACAACCAAAACCAAACACACAACCAAAACAACAACAACAACAACAACAACAAAAAAAACCATTCATTTTATTTATTTTTTTAAAATGGTGGTTTAAAAAAATTTATTATATTTTATTTTCCGATACAAGATTACTCTTTTTTGAAAATTGTGGTAATTGTATTGGAAAAATGCCAAGTGAATTCCCACCAAGTAGTAAGTTTTATTTTCTTTAAAATTTTATTTTATAACCCATACTAACTTTTTTAATAGAATTCCGTTGTATCATATGCGGATTTATAAATTATCCTGACACTGGCAGAAAAAATAAATAAAAAAATAAAAAAAAATAAAAAAATAATAATTAAGATAAAAATTATAATTATAATAAATAAAATTATAATTATAATTCTTTTAATAGTATAGGTATCAATAGTAATTATAAATATAATAATGGATAATAAAAAAGAAATAAACATAAAAGAATTTATCGTATCAGTTCAAAATCCAAAGAGGTAAAGATCCAATCAAAGTAAAAGACCTCTCAATTAAATCAACACCAATCAATTTTTTCATTTTAATCAACTATTTGATGAATATCAGACATTGTTCTGGCCAAGCAACTATGGTATCACGAGTGGTTTTAGAAGAAGAAAAGATTTAATGGTTCATAAGAAGAAAAGATTTAATGGTTTATATCGGCAGCTTCCAAAACTTAATCAACTTGACACAAGTTCTGATCTTAGTAAATCCGTTTTGTGCGTTCAATTGATAGTTTTTTCTATGACCAGCAAGATTTCATTATTTTTAAGAGCCGCTGCTTTTATTTTTATTTAAATTTTTTTTAATCAACCAAACCCATAAAAATAAAAATAAAGATAAAGATAAATTCTTTTTATAAAGTTTTTTCAATAAAAATAACATATAACCTTATATATTTTTAATGCTTTAAGTATATAAATTAAATTGGTTTGCATTTTTTGATATACATAATGTATGTGTTTTCAGAGAAAAGAAGTTGGTAAAATTGTATATTTAAAAACCCTGTGCAATAAAGAATTTAAAAGCAATACTAAAGTACATCCCACAATAACCGATACATACTATTCCTAATGTCAAAACTATAAACTAAAAAACTAAAAAAAAGTAAAAAAGAAAAAAATTACATTTTATTTTCTTAAATGTTTATTTATAAGTTTATATATAATAAACTATTTTTTATTTAAATTTTTATTTTTATATAATTTTAATTTTTGAATAATTTTGATTATCTATTTTATATACCCTAAAAACTAAATGTAATGTTGCTATTATTTTTATGATTACTTTTATTATAACATTATTAGTTGCTATTCTTCTATTATTGCCATTATTTCTATTACTACTATGAATAAATAATCTATTCCCATACCTTTTAATGAAAAAAAAAATTGGGATTCACCCAATCTAAACAATTCATCATTTTTACTTTTATCATTTTTTTATTATTATTACCAAGCTATCTTATTTATTTAATTATATTACTAAATCTTTTAGAAATTGCCAAATATCTTTTATTTTTATTTTAGATAGACAAATAATCCAACCAAAAATATTAAACCTATATCTAAAACATAATTTTTATTAATCATTTTTTTATTTTGATTATTTATTAATTATTTTGAGGTATTTATTTTATTTCCAAAAATGCAACGTGTTATGGCACACATAAAAAACAAATAGTTGACTTACACCTGGCATTTTAAAAGCAAATAATTTCCAAAAAACATAAAAATTAATATAAAAAAAAAAAAAACTAAAATAAAAAATCATTTTTTATTTAAAATTAATTTTTTAAATATCGGGGTTAAAAAAAAAAAAAAAAAAAAAAAATTCCTTTTTTTTGGATTTATAAGGGACTTTTTAAAAATTTAATAAATTAAATGGAATAAGGGGAATTTTTTTAAAGGTTATAATAATAAAAAAAAATTTTTAAAAAAAATTTAAAGAAGGGGGATTTTTTTTTTTATTTAAAAATTTTTTAAA